AAAAAAATTACTCCAAAGAAAATATTACTCTGAAAAACAGAAAAAAATATTATTCAGAAAACAGAAAAAATTATTCAAAAAAACAAACCAAAAATAAATGACTCAGAAAAAGAGTTTTTTTTTTCAAGTGAATGCAAAACGCCTCCGTAGTTTTTTAACTCATGTTCACTGTTGAGTTTTATTTTGAAGGGCTGAGCGGATCTGATTGATTATTGTTTCCTACTTGATGCAGAGAGATCCGGACAGAGAGAGAGAGACAGAAAGAGAGAAAGAGAGAAAGAAAGAGAGAGGACTGTCCAGATGGCGGCTGTGAGGAGTATGAACACAATGTTTGGACTATGTTTCCATGCTGCTCGACAGACATCGAGGCTGCTTCCGCTCAGAGCCTTCACAGTCACTGTAAGTTTAATGTGCCAGACGTCTAATTTAACTAAAACAAAGATAAAAATGCGTCGACCTGGCGAACTGAAAGGGTTTATTTGAGCTTAGCGTCAAAAAACCTGCGAGGTGAAGTTAAAATGCAAGGCTACGAGGTGGTTTAAGTGCAGATATAAAGTTATAAAATGTGTTTATGTTGGAATTAAGGATGGTTGGGAAGGTTTCACAAGATCGCGTTCCTTCAGTTATCGCGATACTTCGGGAGCCAGCGAACGTTAGCTTAGCAGACAACCTTGCGGAGAGTAACCTTAATTCTGTGGCGATTCTCTAACGCTTATAAGGTCGAAGTGAAGGTGTTTCAACACATAATCGACATCTTTACCGACACAGGACGGGTGGACTTTGTGTGTGTTGTCATGACTGAAGATTAGGTTGCTAAATTACCCTTCCGACGGCTGAGCTAACGCTAGCTGCGCTCCTATTGGTCGAACGAAGGGGCGTGACGCGGGCACTTCCGCCCTCAAGTTCAACGTGACACAGAAAATATCTTTCAACAACAACAACAACAACAACAACAACAACAACAAACGTGATGTGGAGAGAAAGGGACATTAAAACTGTTGTTTTTCACTGAAAGTCATCATTTTATTGTTTATTATTATAATTATAATTATTATTATTATTATTATTATTAAGGGAAACCGTTTAGAAATAAACTTTACTGCACATATTTCAATTTAGTATTCTTACAATTAAATCACAGACCACACTATTTATAATATGACATCATGCAAAGAAAATATCTTTTAATAACAACAACAAACGTGATGTGGAGAGAAAGGGACATTAAAACTGTTGTTTTTTCAGCTCCCTCTGAAATAAATACGCCTTTTCTGAATATTCTGTGTCTCTATATCCGGTGTGTGTCACTAAAAGTCATCACTTTATTGTTTATTATTAAGGGAAATCGTTTGGAAATAAACTTTACTGCTCATATTCCTATTTAGTATTCTTACAAATGTATTTTCATAGGTCAGGATATCAGCAATTTACATCTACCAGTGTGGTTTATTAATAACTAAATACACAAATAAAGAATGACGAAATAAAGAAGTCAAAAAGTACATTTAAATATTAAAATCAAACTGTTGCACCACTTTACTGTAAGAAAATAACTGTAAAATAAACAATTTAATACATGAAATGATTTTTTATAAACTGTCTGTGAGGTTTTCAGAGTTGGCACATCCAGTGTTTAGACCACCCCTTGAATAGTTTCCTGTTAGTAGAGAACAATACATTCATTTTGTATATTTTAACTCCCAAAATGTCTTCTTCATCTTCTTCTATTATTATAATTAT